TTTTCAAATTCTAGCGCACTCGAGCTGGTTTTTCCACAATTACCTACCCCACCTTTAACATTAATACTGTATTATAATGACTACTTAAAGAAATGTAACTCCCACTTAAGGTAGTCCTATTTTCTTTTTTTTTAAGAAGTCATATTTTATTTGACCTCCTGCTGTATGCAGATTCCTGTTGAGACATCTTCTAATGTGGTGTGTGACATAACTTGCACTGATAAATAGTGCTAAAGTTCATTTCAACTTATTTTGAGTATAACCTCCAAAAAAGTAATGTGGAGGTTATACTCAATATCAGTAGTGTCAGATCACAGTGTGTCAGATGGCAAACTTCACTTGATGCTTCAGTCCAGTTACCCTGTGAAAGAGGCTGTGGAGGTGTTTCACTGTCTTCAGGGCTAGTGCTCATCAGCTCTTGAGCTCTATAGGTTGCATTGCCTAATGAGGTATTAGGCTTACGGACCTCCAACAGGCCATGTTGTGGGAGTCCGTGTTGGCAGAATAACTTCAACCCCAGGATTTACAGGTTAGTTGTGATGATATTTGACCATGCCTAAGTTAATTCTCAAACATATGTTCCTAACTAACCTAAGACCTGGTACAGAGCAGGTAAAGATACAAATCAACTTGACACCAAGAAATGCAGACCTAGCTACTGTAGCTCTTAAACTAAAATGCAAACACTTTAGTTTATTTTAAGTTATGAAAAGTTAGTCAAGAAGCTTATAGCACGCTAAACACATCTTCAACCACTACACCTGACCAACCACCGTCTATCACAGGCCAGAACAGTAAGACACACACTCACTTACATGGTAACGCTAATAGCATGTTCTCTTGAAGGGATCTGAAATCATCCAAGGAGTCTTCTGCATAATAAAGCCGAGACAGTTCAAAGGTATGCGTATCAATAAAGATGCCATGACTCTGGCTGAATTGAAACGCTTTCTTCTGTCTTACTTTAGCGAGAAGAGCGGTACAGAGCTCTTCCAGGAGTTGATGAGCACAAAGCAACATGAAAGTGAAACACCTCAAAATATCCTAGTGGAATAACTAAAGTGCCTCCTTTCTAACCACCGTGGCCCCAAAGAAGCTCTAATAACGATGGAAGATCAAAGCGATGAGAGAGGAAAATAAAAAGGCAGAACACCACGTCAGAAGATGGTAGTAACTGGAATCAGCACTGGAGGTCAAAGCGGATACTTCTAAAAACAAGAACAATCACTTTTAGTTTGTGTCACACAAATCCACCTCACTTTTAATGGCACATTACCAGCAATTAAACATTGATGTAAGATAAAAAATGTAAGGCCCTAAGTCAACATTGCTCCTATATGCTTGGGTTGATTGTTCTTGATTTTACATCCCTAATCACTGGCATGTCCTCATTTATAAAGCCATTTCTAACTTGCTCTCTCCATATGTAAATGTCCCTTTTTCTGTGACATTTCCTCAAGAGATTCTCTTGCTATCTGTTGCCAATGTCCGTCTTCAAACGGGAAAGAGGGCTTTAAGGTATGATCCTTCTGCGGCTTTCAATTTTCACAGATTGATTGATTATAGCTGAGAGGAGATGGCTTCCTAGAGTGTTTGGAAAAATAGCTTTAAATTGGAGGAAGGTACATCAGGTGTAGATGCTTTGAGCTGAGCTGGTGGACCCTATATCATCTAGGATATGATGAATTGAGTTTTATTTTCCAATACTTATGCTGTGATTGTAAATTGTATAGTCTGTAACGGTTATGTATTGTATTTCTGAAATGTTATTTAGTGTTATAAGGCTTTTCCTGGTAAGGACATGAACGACAATGACCCAAAACTAGGTTCAGGATCAATTTCAGCACAAGTAGAAAAGAAAGCCCCATCGCTTCACAATGTTTAAATAGCCCGTCACTCTCATATTGTTATATTTACCTTTTTATGTTGCCACATAAATCCGCTGTTCTTTCTGCTTCAAAAAACAAATGCACTCTCTAGTCTCTTGACTGCATATGCAGCGTTTTATGATGCCTTTGTATGGGCTCAGAACAGTCTCATAATACACACATGCACACAGAAGGATTCAAACTTGTATTTCATAATCCGCAAAAGGATCCACACTTGTGTTTTTCAATGCACACACAAATGTGTTCCGTTTCATATAGGCCTACATGTAAATAGAATCCAAATACAGAAAAAAGTTTTAAATGTGTATTTTTGATCCACACATTTGTTTTCCATTTAAATCCCCTGAACCTGCAAACACAAACCGCTTTCTGTGCACGGATCGCTGTGCATTCGTGTGTGGGTTTTTTGAGACTCCCCTGACGGTCAGCCGATACGTAGTTGTAATTTTTTCTATCTATAGCCAATCAGATGTCTCCTCAATTCTAAGCCAATCACATGAGCGCGCCCCCACGAGGGTAGATTTATTGCGTTCATGACGTAGCGCTTCATGAACGCATTTTGCGCAGTCCGGAGCTGACAGGTCCATGGGACCTGCCTGCAGGCGCTAATCTCAGGACACCTCCACTCTCAGTACACTGCCACTTTCCGAACAGGAAATGCACGCAAATACAAGCCTTTATATTATTAAGGTTCAGCGCCACTTTCCGAACCATTGATTAATGCTTGTGTGTACACAAAAACGGCAGGCAAAACCGTTTTAAATGTGTGTTTCCTGTATGGCGAATACAGGTGCTTTATTTATGTCTGTATGAAGTTGTTGTGAGTGTGGAGGGAGCAGCTACAGGTTAGCTTAGCCTAATCGATCAGTGCACTACGAAGCCAGTGCTAGACAGTGAACTGTCAACGGGGGGGGAGCCCCGCCGGTCATTATCGGCCGATATTCACTCTTAATAGTTTGATCTGTGCTCTCTATAAAGGCCGATCAGGAGAGCTGGATCTGATCGATATGGACATAAACGCGAGTGAAGTATAACCGGACGCGAGAGAGAGATCAGATCAGCTGCTGAGTCTGACGGAGACACGCAGCTCTGCATGATCACCTGATGCTCCGCCCTCTGTTTAGCGAGCTGACCGGACAGCGCAAAATGCGTATATGAAGTGTCATGAACGCAATAAATCCTACCCTCGTGGGGGCGCACTCATGTGATTGGCTTAGAATGAAGGAGACATCTGATTGGCTATAGATAGAAAACATTTAAAATATAAAAAATTAAAAATACAAATCGGGTGAGCGTCAGGGGAGTCTCAAAAAACCCACACACGAATGCACAGCGATCCGTGCACAGAAAGCGGTTTGTGTTTGCAGGTTCAGAGGTTTTAAACGGAAAACAAATATGTGTGGATTAAAAATACATATGTAAAACTTTTTTCTGTATTTGGATTTTATTTACATGTATATGAAACGGAACACATTTGTGTGTGCATTGAAAAATACAAGTGTGGATCCGGAAATACAATGTGAATCCTTTTGCGGATCATGAAATACAAGTGTGAATCCTTCTGTGTGCATGTGTGTATTATGAGACTGTTCTGAGCCCATAGAAAAGAGGAGGTTGTCACTACCCGATCTGTCCCCCTTCCCGATCTGTACTGCGCATGTGCGAGACGAGCCTAGTATATAACTGTCACTGAGGAACTGCATACAGCTAAAGCAGCCTCCCTCTCCTCTGTCATCATCCTTCTGGACCTGTCTGCCGCATTCGACACGGTGAATCATCAGATCCTCCTTCGCACTCTCCAAGAACTTGGAGTTTCAGGCACTGCACTTTCCCTCCTCACCTCATACCTCAAAGACCGCACCTACAGGGTAACTTGGAGAGGGTCCGAGTCCGACCCTTGTCAATTAACTACAGGGGTCCCTCAGGGCTCTGTTCTTGGTCCCCTCCTCTTCTCCTTGTACACAAACTCGCTCGGGTCTGTCATTAGCCCGCATGGTTTTTCAAACCACTGCTACGCTGACGACACCCAATTCATTCTGTCCTTTCCCCGCTCAGAGACCCAGGTCGTCGCACGCATCTCTGCTTGCCTAGCTGACATCTCTCGGTGGATGTCTGCTCACCACCTCAAGCTCAACCTTGACAAGACTGAACTGCTTTTCCTTCCGGGAAAAGATTGTCCCACTCTTGACCTAACAATCAACATCGGCACCTCTGTTGTTTCCCCGACTCAGACTGCAAGGAATCTGGGTGTGATCCTAGATAACAAACTGTCCTTCACTGCAAACATCGCTGCTACAACGAACATCTGCTGCTATAGATGAGAGAAATTACAAGTACGAATTGGATGAGCGTCAGGGGAGTCTAAGTCCCGCTGGACCCAGAAAGCGACGCATGTTCTGGTCCCAGCTTCGTCATCTCACGCACTAGACTACTGCAACTCCTCCTGGGCTGATCTACCGCATGTTGCCATCCGACCTCTGCAGCTCTCCGAATGCAGCGGCTCGTCCTGGTCCTTCAACTTCCTAAATTCTCCCACACGCGCCGCTCCTCCGCTCCTTCCACTGGCTTCCAGTAACCGCTAGATCCACTTCCAGACCACTGATACTTGAGTTACCATGCTGTGAATGGGATCTGGCCCTTTCCTACATACGCAGGACATGGTTAAACCGTACACCCCCGCACTTGCACTCCGCTCTGCATCAGCCAAACATTCTCGCTGACACCGCACTGCGAGGGGACCCGAGTTCCAGTCAGCAAAAACACGTGGGTTGCTATCCTGGCTTCCAAAATGGTGGAATGAGCCCCACATTGAGAATCAGTGACAGCAGAAAAGCTGTACACATCTTCTTCAGACTGAAAAACTCATCTCTTTCGACTCCACTTTCGAGCGATAGAAATTACTAACAAAGCCACTTATATACTAATAAAGGGACTGGCTTATCCTAAAGCCATTGAGTAGCACTTAGAAATGTTTTTAGCTCCTATGAAACCTGATGGTACTTATATGTTCTGTTTTCTTCAAGTTTTTTTTTGTTGGTCGAACGCACTTATTTAGTCGCTTTGGATTAAAAGCGTCAGTCTAAATGCAATGTAATGTAATGTATATCTGCACCCACAAAGCTGGTAAAAAAAAAAAGAGCCATCCAATCAAAACAGGCGCATAGTCGCAACGAGGCCAATCACAGGCAGACTACTGGGCGGGACCAGGCGGAAGAAGTTTTTGAGATCTCTCGTGTCAAATAAGCCCTGTATATGTTACTTTATACCGCCCTGAAAATCAATTATATCTGCCTGAATGATCCATAAGGAAGACTGATATTCTTACAGTGGAGGTTTAGTTTGAAATTGATTTCAGAAAACGTATTTTAATTAATGTCTGCTCCCTGTAATCCGTGTGGTTCTTCTATACAACCAACCTCCAACTGGATGTCACATTTCCTTGTTATTTTTGGAGGTCATGATAAGTTTCACTTTCACTTTTACAAATAACTGCTGGCGCACTAAAGGTAAGCTGAAACTGCCGATGCAAAACCCTCGACATACAAACGTATATCCCCATACAAGAATACAATTACTTTGATTCAGTCTCAGTACATATTTAAAATATGTATATATGTAATACTATTCGTGACTGTAACGTTACCTCGAATGCTATCTGTTTATACATATCTTTAACCGTGTATGCTAGCTAGGACTCAGTTAGCGTAGCACAAACGTCCTCATGGTTCTAGAAAACTTTTTTTAACGGCTTTATAAACCGTTAATGTGACGGTTAGGTCGCGATGTTTTTGTGTTGACTGTACATTGTTACCACAACGGAAGCTGCCATTAAAGTTATGGATATATTATAAAAGTTGTTGTTTTATCTTTGTCAGGACATTTTGTTTTTTATAAAAATGGAGACCCACGCAATGTGTTTTTTCAGATTACAGGAAACTATTTGATATTTAATCAAATATATTTAAGTTAACAAGAAATACACACATTTTAATTTAATTCAGGACATTTAAATCATTTCACTTGTTATTTCTGCTACTTTATAGGTATCCTGCCCTACATTTAGGGGGGGAATTAATGAACATTTAAATCCCACTTTACTAATATTAATGATATCACGATTATCAAACAAAAATACATTATGATACCAAAAAATCAATTAATAAAAAACAGTAATAAATGAGCTGAAATTAGATGTATTTCAACAGCTACTATTAAACATGATTAACACATAATGCGTTCATTAAATATAATCAAATTGTGAAATACACAAATAGGTCTGAAAGAATCATTCTACATAATAAGTATTTAACACAGAGTCAAATGTATATTTTTTAAATGGCCTGTACATCTACTTGCTCATTTTGTATTCAATTCTTTACTTTAAACAAAGGAAAGGGGAAGAATTGTAGGAATAAAATAACTTCTGTCATTATTTCTTCTCATCTATAGGCAGCTCGTCATGTCCCGTGAACGTCGACCTAAACATTCATCCCCAGGTATTTACTATCTCCTGATTGTTATTTGGGAACCTGAATGAGTAGTTTTTCTTACACTATTAAACAGGAAATACTTTTACATTGCAATTTTAAGATTTGGTCTTTAAAGAAAAACAAGAATTTAGGAAATGGATATAACAAGTGATTTATTTTTATTGTAATTCCTCCTCTTTAAATAATCCAAGTCAAATTACTACAAGGCTGGATTATCTGTTATTTGTGCTATTTCAATTGATTTTTGATTTAGATTTTGTATTAAGTAGCACATAAAGAAATAAGGTTCACAATAAAAACAAGTGATAGAAGCATATGCAATGAGAGGCCAAGACTAAAAGCTCATTGAGGGTCTCGTTTAAATACAATTATGTATTTCAAAAAGGAATATTGAATACTTCTTCAATTACATTTTTAAGTTGACTTACAAGATTTGTGTTAGATATTTTATTCTGTAGTTCCCTGACTATCCTTTCACCATGGGTGGAGCTGGTTTCAAAACGAATTTGAGATGAAGACCTTTTCATTTTCATGTCAGATCCATGCTGTTTGACAGGCGTACGCGGGTTCATTCTGGAACATCAACATTTGTCAAAGAGATTAGGGTTAGTTACATTTCTGAGAATTAAACACTGGTTTCTGTGATTCAAGCATTTAGGTCTTTTGGTTATAAAACCTAATGACATTTTGATTTGAATAACACTTAACACTAATGAAAAAGGTGGAAACACAGTGTAGGCCTGTGCGATAATCAGTAAATTGACTTATCGTTACGATAAATAAAGATGGACTCGATAACTTCTTCTGAGCTCCGATAAAATTGCTGTTTACAGTTTGTTTACATAAGGGATGTGACCAGGCATTTGAGCCCGGCGGCTGTGGCTGCCAGCCCGGGCGCGCTGTGAGGGGGCGGGGCTCCACAACAGCCCATGACACAGCCAGGGTCAGGACACTCCGCGTGCAGCAGTGTAGCAGCCAAATTAAGGATATAGCGACCCAATGGCAGGAGACAACGTGTGACTTACTCGAGGGGAATTTGAAGTGAAAATGGAAGTGGTTGCAAAAACCTAATACACATCTCCGGTATGGCAGTATTTTGAGATTTAAGCCAAATCAACCGAGGCGAACCTACGGATTTGAATGAGGCGGTGTGTGTCGCATTTGTTTTAAAAGGTTAGCAACAAAAGCTAGCAATACGACCAACCTTAAACTGCACCTGAAACACAAAACCACGCCACCCCATTCCGTTTTTCCCAGCTGGTGGCAAACACGGGGCAGCTGGGAGATGGAGAGCCACCTTCTCAACAGTTTACATCAATGCCAAACATGTTGTTGCTCCTTGCTCGAATCTTTGAAATACGATTTGGATATGGGCCTGTTGAGGCATCTGGGTCTTTGTATGGACAGTGGACTGCACACTTGGACTGTTGTTTTAAGGAGTTTTTTTGCATGTGAGGACAATGTTGTGCTCACATTTATTTTATTTATATATATATATATTGATATATATGAGAGAGAGAGCTTTGTTTTCCAGCCTGGAGTCTATTTAATGCGTTGTTTTGGTTGTGGTGATTTAATTATTTATAATTTAATTAACTGTTTATTTATTATATATAATTAATTATATTTGAATATTATTTCAATTTCATTTGCAATGTTGAATGTTCAATACAAAGTTCTGTTTGAAAGGATATACTTCGAACTTATTATGATATATTATCATTTATGTCGTGGTCTAACTGGTTTTGCCAACGGTGCCGACAATATTATCGTTTATCGTTATCATTCCGGGAAAATGTATCTGGTCCAACAAATATTATCGTGAGAGGCCTAACAGGCTGTGCTATCAGCGCCTCTTCATTAAAAAACAATGTGTGTAATAAAAAAAGAAGACTGCCGTAAACTCCATTCACGTAAAGTTGCTGTTAGTTTCAACATCACATCCAATATTCAAACTTTGAAACTTATCTGAACAAATCTTATCCTGAAGGGAATGCCTTTTGTTCTAGAGCAAGTGTTAATGACTGCATTCAAAACAGGATAATGGATACAAATCTGTTTAATTTATTTAAATAAATATGTTT